GTCTGGTTTATTTCTCTTAGCACAATGTCCTCAACTTCACCCATGTAATAGCAGATATCAAAATGCCTTTCCTCTTTAAGACTCATAGTGCATGTAGACCTCAGTTTGTGTCTCCATTCACCCATCAGTTGCTTCCACAGCTTAGTTGCCATGAATATGAGTGCATTATTTTAAAAAGATACTGGAAGTACACTTTACTCTGTGACACAGCTTCTCTACATTGGGTGTTCTGCAGTGTCTGCATCACCTTACATTCCCACCAGTAGCGTACAAGCGTTCCAGGTACTCCACGTTCTTGCAAACATTTGTCACTTCTTGAAGCTTTTGTTACTTAGTAGTAGCATCGTAATGTGTATGAGGTGATGTGTGCTTGGGCTTTAATTTTATATGTTTGTGGGCATGCCGGTATGATGTGTGTGAGGTCCACACATGCCATGGCACACTTGTGGAGGTCAGAAGGCATCTTTACGGAATCAGCTCTCGCTTCAGCACTGTGGCTTCCAGGACTTGAAACTAGGTCTTCAAGCTTGGCAGCAAGTGCCTTTACCCACTGAGCCATCTCACTATCCCTTAATCCCATTGTTTTCCAACTGTATTTATTGTTTATAACTCTTCAATCATCTTGTACTGATTTCACTGCATTCACTCCCCAGCACCAAAAGACAGAAGCATCAATGGCCCAGCTATGATGGTCCAATGGTTACACCCTGCACTACTCTGGGACTTAATACCCAAGTAAGGGTGGGGAGCCCTAGGATGGATTCAGGATACATGTGGCAGCCCCAGGCCTGGCTTCAGCAGCTGTGCATCCAGAGCAGCTTATTTCTCCCCTTTCCCTGGAGATGGGAGAGGGGAGTTGCAGCCTCTCCCTCTGAGCAGGCACAGCCCCCGCCACAGAGCAGGAGACCCATAGAGAAGCCACCTTCTGCAGCTGGAACACAGGGCAAAACCTCAGAGTTTGTCAGGGTGAAAAAAGTCAGGAGCAAAATGGGAAAGGCAACCAACCGCTTCTTAGTAACGCACGCACGTAGGCGATTTCAGAGCTCAAGTTCAGAGAAACAAATTGAATTAAGGAGGAGGCAGCTCTGCCATTTGCAACACTGGATTGTTTGAAATCCTTTTAGAGGAAAATTAAAATATTTCACAGAGGGTAATAAAATGCCGGGTGCTTGGCAGGCATGACTGCTCAGCTCTCTTGGGCAAATAAGTAATTAGGTATTTTTATTTAAGGCCTCAGTGTCGTCATTTTCTTTCATTAGTGGAGGGATGGAATGCTGTTGTGGAAAACACCAGAAAGTTAGTTATAATATTAGTTTTTAAAGTACAATATAACTGCATTTAGTAAGCCAAAGGGAAGGTCTTGGGATTTATTTTCTCAAAAAAGAAAAAAAAATGTTTTATGGGAAGTATCTCAGAGATGCCCCTGTCTCACAGTGACCTGATGCCATCCAAAACCCTTGATGTGGAGTCTCAGGTTAGATGGGCCGAGGGAGCCAGGAGATGTTCTGAGCTTCGTGCCTGTCCTAGGCACTAGATCACTGCTGAGGAACCCGCCACTCAGTCCTGCTCCACCATCCCTCTCCACATTCTGCTGATGTGGAAATGGTTGATGTTTTTTCTCTGTTCCAAACCCTCCATTCCACAGATGAGGAAACTGTGGGCGTATTTAAAATGTTCTTTCCTTTCTGGCACCCATGGGTTTTGGGGCCACTGCCTGTCAATGTCTATATCCCTACATAGCTCTGGTCTACACCCCAGGCCTGAGCCAGGGCTTCAAGAGTGGAGAATAAACCAGGACATACCCCATCAGTGAGGGAGGGCTCACCCCAGCCCTGAGCCACTGGTACATGCTGACATCTTTTTTTGTAATTAAGTTTTATTGTGTTTTATTTCTGTGCACATGTGGGTGGCTTATATATGTGTCTGTGTGGAGACTGTGTGCGTGTGTGTGTGTGTGTGTGTGTGTGTGTGTGTGTGTGTGCGTGCGTTTGTGTGTGTGCGTGCGCGCATGCTTACAGAGGACAGAAGGGGTGTCACAGGCATTTGTGTTATAGGCATTTGGGAGCTAACCAGGATGGACTCTGGGATCCAAACTCTGGCCTCATGATTGAATAGTAAGCAAGCCCTTACAACTGCTGAGCTCATCTCTCCAGCCCCCAAGCTGGCATCTTTAATCTGCCTCCTTGCCCCAGGTGCTCTCTTGGGCCATATAAAGGAGGGTAAGATGGAGATTCAGATAGCCCCTTTTTGCAAGACTGGTCTGAGACCCAGACAAAGCCACTTCTGAGGTGGAGAGAACACAGGCTGACCATTGGTATTTGTTGCCCTCCAAAACCTCTCCAGGCATAAATAGGACTATCTCCAGCAGCCATTACTGTTCCCCGAGACCTGCCACCCAAGTAGCTACATAGTAATTTTCAGTGAGATGCGTGGATGTGTGTCTGGGGGAGGGGATGAAGGAGGGAATGTGAGCACTTACAGAGCTGCCTTCCCAGCAGCCACTTGTGCACTTGTCCCAACTCCACCCTGACTGCTCATATACAAGTCTCTTGTACTGGCCGCCTGTCCTACATCCTCCCCAGCCAACTAGCCCACCTTGAGCCATCATCGCAAATAGTAGGTAAGCACCTACTATGTGCTGGGTCCATGCTTGCCCTGGGAACTTGGAGAGAATTAGAAGACAAGAAATGGACCCACACAGGAGATATCTGAGCATGTCCACCAGGTGCTGAAGGCTGTGTCAAAGGAGCAGATGGAGAGAAGGGAAAGAGAGAAGAACCAGGAGAAAGTTTGTGATTATTTGTAGAGTTTAAAAGAAGCACCCTGGTGACCAGCTTCACAAATGGACTGTGGCGTGGCTGATTGGCAGCAGTGGATTGGCCACTCCACTCAGAAAAGGCCAGTGTGTGTGTGTGTGTGTGTGTGTGTGTGTGTGTGTGTGTGTGTGTGTGTGTGTGGTGTGTGGGGCTGGGAGTGTGTGGGTGTGCAGGTGAGTATGTGTATGTGTCAATATCTTCCTCAATCACTCTCCCCTTTATTTTTTTTTAATTTATCGAAACAGGTTCTCACTATATAATTCAGGCTGGCCTCCAGACTTACAGAGATCAACTTGCCTCTGCCTCCTGAGTGCTGGAATTAAAGGTGTGCGCCACAATGCCCGGCTCCACCTTATTTTTGAGAGAGTCTCTTACAGAAGCTGGGTTCACCAAATTTGCTTGGCTATCTGGCCAGCAAGCTCCAGAGATCCTGCTGCCTCTGCGTCCCCAGAACTACCAGGGTTTCCTGTGGACACTGGGAGTCCCGACTCAGAGCCTCATGCTGAGTGGCGGGCACTATATGGCTTCTCCCCTCCCCCGTTTGGTCCTTTTTTAAATGTAGCAGAAATAGCTGTTCTGTAGGTTCTAACCTAAGTCAAAACCAGGAGGATGGCCCACCCACACCCACACTGTGAACATGCTCCTGATAGGCATGAGATACACGGGACACCTGGTCTCAAGGGGCTTATGCTGAGTGAAAAGGCCAGTTTCCATCAACGACATCCTATATGATTTCATGTATGTCCCATGCTTGACATGACTGGCATAGGCTGGCGCTGTGGCTCAATGGGTGAGCACATGGTAAAGCACTTGCTCAGCATGTAGGATCAGGATTTGATCCCCAGCACTGCACAGAAAGAAAAAGAGAAATGAGGTAAGAAGAGGTGTGGAAACTGGTGGCTAGAGGCAGAGAGAGAGCAGACTGTGGCCATCAAAGAGTGGGACAGGGATGCAAGAAAGGTGTCCTGTTTAGACATCATGGTGCTTCCAGGAATCGATGTCATGCCCTGGTAAAGAACCAGATATACATGTATGCATGTGGGGTCTGAATGGGGTTGCTGTGACTGTGTCTGCATCCCCTGCCGTGTTGATATTGTTTCTGTGGTGATGTGGGGGGGGCTAACACTGGGAGAAGCTATGAGGAGAGTATTGGAGGACCTCCTCTGTTAGCTTTCATCAACAGTTATCTTACAATAAAATAGCACATCACACACCCAAGGATGATTAAAAACAAATTGAAGACTGAGACCAGTTCTGGGTCAAATGCTGAGTTCTGCAGATGAGAAGAAATATACAGAGGGGTTCAACTTTAACCCACATGTTTTACTTTTCAAAAACAGAAAACCCTAGCCAGACATGGTGGCACATGCTTGTAATCCCAGCTCTTGGGAGCTAGAGGCAAGAGGATCAGGAGTTTTAGAACATGTTTGGCTGTGCACCAAGTTCAAGTTCAGCCTGAACTACACGAGGCAGACCCTGTCTCAAAACAAGCAAACATGAAAAGAATTTGAAGCAGTTATGTAGTTTTCTATTTCTTATATTATTATCTTTTTATATTGGAAATCATGCTGGTTGTTTTTTAATGTGACCCAAGCTAGAGTCATCTAGGTACAGGAACCTCCACTGAGAGAATGCCTTCATCAGATTGGCCTGTAGACAATATTTCAGGGCATTTTGTGACAGGCTCCAGGCCAATATGGGTGGTGTCATCCCTGGGCAAATGGTCTTGAATTGTGTAAGAAAGCAAGCTGAGCAAGCCATGGGGAGCAAGCCAATAAACAATGTCCATCCATGGCTTCTGCTTCAGTTCCTGCCTCCAGGTTCCTGCCTTGAGTTCCTGCCCTGGACTATGATCGGGAAATGTAAGCTGAAATACACCATTCCCTCCCCAAGTTGCTTTTAAGTCGTAGTGTTTCATTACAATAGAAAGCAAACTAGAACAGAAATCATTCATAACTTTTTAAAAAGCGAATTCTGCTTAATGACCTGCCCCAGAATCAGGACTAGCCCAAAGTGTCTCAGAGACCCACAGGATCTCAGAGGCCCATATCCTAGCCACCAGTGGCCCTGGACTCCTGACAGCTCAGCCGTGTAGCAGCAGCAGGGTTAAAATGACATAACCAGGGCAAGGCTTCCTCCGTGGCAAGTCCTGCCCTGCACAAGCCACCCCAATTCTCTCCACAGCCCCCAGAAAAGGAGGGCGCCCTGCCCCGGCAGGTGGGCAACAAGACTGAGTGTGGCCTGCTGGGCTTCGTGCTAGACTTGAAGCAGGACTATGAGCCGGTGCGCAGCCAGATGCCAGAGGAGAAGCTCTATAAGGTGTACACCTTCAACTCCGTGCGCAAGTCCATGAGCACCGTCATCAAGATGCCTGACGAGAGCTTCCGCATGTACAGCAAGGGTGCTTCAGAGATCGTGCTCAAAAAGTAAGCTGTGGATGTCTGGGTCACACGTCACCACCCTGTGCAGGCTGGACCTAAGCAAGTCACTGTCCCTCTGCACCTCAGTTTCCCCATTTGAACATTGGTCGATCCCAGAGACTCTCAACCCTGACTTGTCATGTGGTGTAGTAGAGTCAGCTCAATGAAAAAGAAAAAGGAGGTGGTGGTGGCCCACACCTTCCATCCCAGCCCTCAGGAGGCAGGCAGGAGACTCTCTGAGCTCAAGGCCAGCCTGAGACCCTCTTTCAAAGAGACAGAAAGAAAGATGAAAGGGAAGAAAGGAACAAATACAAACCATTGATTCCTGTCTTACTCCAGACAGCTCTGAGTGGAACCATGAAGGCTGGCCTACACCTTCATTTTGTTAGATGCTCCTCAGGCCAGCCCCATACCGAAACAAGGTGGAGAGCCACTAACCTCGGTTTAGAGCTTGCCAAGCCATCTCAGCTGAGGCACTGTTTCCTGCCCCCCCATTTGGAACCTCCCAAACATAGCATGCAACAGACAGGTCAGGGGCCTGAGGCAAATACTATTTAAAAAAAAAAAAAAAAAGGCCACCTAGTTGCACCCCTGCCTGTGACACCCAGGCCTGCTGAATGCACTGAGGCATTATGGGAGGTGGACCAGACGGGTATTCAGTGGCTAAGGTACGTGGGCCTCATCCAGCTCCTTCCCCTCCCTCCACCAGGTGCTGCAAGATACTTAGTGGGGCGGGTGAGCCCCGTGTCTTCCGGCCCCGTGACAGAGATGAGATGGTGAAGAAGGTGATCGAGCCCATGGCCTGTGACGGACTCCGTACCATCTGTGTGGCCTACCGTGACTTCCCCAGCAGCCCTGAGCCCGACTGGGACAATGAGAATGACATTCTCAATGAACTCACATGCATCTGTGTGGTGGGCATTGAAGACCCAGTGCGACCTGAGGTAGGTAGGCCCTGATGCCAGCGAGCTCAGGAGAAGAGGGCAGGGCTAGCGCCAGGCCAGTGAGTAACTCAAGAACTCTACTCAGCTTTCTGAGCTTCAGGTCCCCCTGCAACAGGACTGGGATCCTTCCCACTCTCAAACATTTCCACATAAAGCCAGTGTAGACATATTTAGCAACGGTCCACTTAGAAAGGAGAACCCAGAGCACAGTGTCCTGTCAGTGTAGCACCCTCCCTCTGCCCAGTGGTTTAGAGCTCAGTAATAGGGCCCCCGCCGCCAGCCTGCTAACACAGCCACAATCTGCCTTCAGCAGGCATCAGGGAGACAAGACTCCCAAGTCAATGACCAGTCACATTCCCAGCAGAAGAGACAGGTGCCTTCACCCATAAGAAAGGATGAGAGTGGTATGTGAAGTATTCCTCATGGGGTGCTGGGTGCACAGTCCAGCTCCAGGCTCTGTTAATTGAATCCGAATCCAGAGAGAAGGCCTGTCATGGTCACAGAAGAAGGGCTGTGTGGTCCGAGTCTGCCCATGCAGGATTAGGCTTTGTGGGAAAATGTTAGGGGCAGGCCAAGCATTCACCTTACCCACAGGGCCTGAAGCAGCTGCAGGAGCTGGATCCTCTTCCCTTAGGCCTCAGTGGGTCCTTATAGGCATTGGCGGACTACTGTCCTCCAACAGTGGCAAATTCAGTGTCCTGCCCTGCCCTGCCCTGCCCTGCCCTGCCAGTGTTCCCTTTGGACCTCCAGACACTCACTACTCTCTAAGAGTCCCAGTGATCCCTTTTTAAAAGTAGAGATAAGCAGAAGGGCTATCTGCAGGCTCCTACCTGGTACTTTAGGGTTCTGTCTTCCAAAGGATGGGTGAAACCAGGTTTCATGGACTTTGACAGCCAGGCAGCTACGAAAGGCATCAGAGCATGAGCAAAGGTATCAGACAAACCTGGATCCCTATGTGCTAGTATTGCTGGCCACACTGAGCCAATTACATAATCTCTCTGAGCCATATCAGAAGGGAGCACCTGGGAAGAGGCTGGGCAGGGCATGGGCAGTGACATACCACGATGAACCTCTGCTGTCTATACCCAGGGATTTCCAGTAAGGAGATAATAATAATAAAGCCATCCCTGGAGGCCTGAGCCCACTAACTGCTGGTGACAAGAAGCTGTCCTAAGAGGCTGAAAACCATCTTTGGGGACTAGAAGTTGACAGATCCCTGACAGGCAGACAGACAGGAAGAGGGCTACAACTCCAGATTGACCCAGCCCCAACCAGCCCTGGAAACATCCTTCCAGAGGACGATGATAAATTGCATGAGGTGCTAAAGGTTTTAGCTATCACCCACCCTTGTACACTTAACCAACTTAGAATTCCATGAAGTCAAAAATGCCAGAGGTGTCCTCTGCTCTTTCCGTTTTAAATGCTGGCCACTGAGGTTTGAACCTTAGTCTCATTCAGGCCCTTTCCCACTCATCAGTTTGGAGATGCACCCTGAAAGTCTGGGAGAGTTCCAAGGTCTCACTGTAAGTGACTGGTTGGATCCAGAGTAGACCTGGTGTCCTGGGCCTTGAACCAGGTACCATAGAAAGAAGCTAGGTGGAAAAGCCACAGAGAGCTCCATGCCCGGGGCCTTGGAGCAGGGCTAAGCCCCTGGTGCCTTTTAATGACAGTATTGTCTTCTAGAGTTCCTGATTCAAACACATAAATGGCAAGGGGCAGCTGAACACAAGCCCAAGCTTTGCTCCCAACAAGCCACCTGCTTCCTCAGAATGTTATCTTTTATCTATAGAATGGGTGTCCACTCAGGGGCCCTTTCCTTCCAGGATCTTCCATCTTTAGACCAGAGGCAGCTTCTAGAAGCTTCACACCCACGCCCATGCCCACACCCACTAGGCCTTCCATCAGTCCATCATCCTGCCCATCACCTTTCAGTCATCTAGCTGGACCCCATCTTACCCATGGCCCACAGGGGTGTGTATTCAGAAATGGATGCTATGGTGCCAGCAAGATGGCTTGGCTCAGTGGGTAAAAATGCTTATCATGCAAGCCAGGTGACGTTAAGTTTGATCTCTAAAATTCTATGAAGGTAGAAAGAGAGGGATAACTCTACAGAGCTGTTCTCTAACATGCACATGTGCAGTGTGACATAAAAATCATATGCACACACAATAATAATCTATTTTAATTTCTAAGGAATTGCAAGCTGCAGTTGGAAGCTGTAGCTTCCTCCAGTGGTAGCATATGATTAGGACAGCAGCTTTTACATGCCCCTCTGATATTCTCTCCTGGGTGATGTATCAGTTCTTTCTCATCACTTAAACAAAATACCTGACCAAAGCAATTTAAGGAGGGAAGGGTTTATTTGAGCTTATATTTTGGAGGGGCAGGCATGATGGCAGGCCAGTGAGGCACTGGTCACATGGCATCTGCGTTCAGGAAGTTGAGAGAGATGGATGCTAGGGCTCAGCTCACTTTCTCCTCATCATTCAGTCTAGGACCCCATCCCACGGACAGATACTGCCCATGGTTAGGGTAGATTTTCTCACTTCAAATAACCTAATCTGGAAAATGCCTCACAGCCATGGCCAGAGAGTTGACCCCAAGATGATTGCAGATGCTGTCAATGGCAGGTGATGTAAAGCATCACAGGTGCTGTGGGTAACATCTCCTCTCAGGGTTCAGTTTCCTGGTGTGTTGGACTGTATGAATCTCTAAGCTAAACCAGCAGAACTGTGAGATGGAGTGGGGTGGGGGGGGCCTTCTTTCTCCTGCTGAGACTTGAACCTAGAACCTCATTCCCACAAGGCCCCTAGTTCCCCCACACAATGAGCTCCTACCACACCACAGGCAGAGCCCCATCACCAGTTTTGTAAGTGACTTTCCCGAGGTGTCCCCGACTATATCAGGTGTCTCATACAGCTTTCCCAGCTCTGTCCTCTGTCCCTATGCCCAGAATATGGTTCCTGGAGTCACACAATGAGTGCCCTGTTCTAGGCTCTAATGTTGTGAGGCCCAGGAAGAGGGGGCTCTTTAGACTCTCCCAGGCTCACTCTTCAACTGCAGGTAAACACCCTTCACCTACCTCAGTTTCCCCACTGTCACACTGCCATCCTCTCCCAGGCCCACCATAGGCCAAGCAGCATCAAACATTCACCAAGGTTCCTACTTAAGACAATCCTAAAGCTGACAGAAGACAGCATGGAGGAAGCTGTGAATAGAGCATCGGTCCAGGACACGCTGGGGTGACCCTGGGGGTGTTCAGAGCCCTTGGCGTCACAGACACCGGCTGTCACCAGAAACAGCAGATGTTTAAAAGCCTTTATGTAATGACAACAGGAAGCACCCATTTCCTGGCTGCTTTTCCTCTGTGAGACTATCTAGGATAATTTTAGCGGAGGAAGCCACATTTTAAAATAGTTAACACTAGTTTTATTTATATGGAAAGCATATTTCAACCAGAGCCCTGCTCCTGAGATCTGAGTCTTGATCATCTACGTCCCCAGAGCTCAGAGCAACTGAATATCCCAATGCTGTTTGTTGAGTAAATGAGTGACTGACCAAAGAAAATCCTGAGCACAGTTTAAGGAAATGTCCCTTTGAGTTGGAGAGATCTAGCTGCTTCCTGAGGAGAGAGCATTGAGCACAGAAGGCTCACAGATAAAGGCTGAAGGGAAAGGGCATCCCAGGCCACAGGGACACAGTGGGCAAAGAAAAAAAAGGAAATGGCAAAGCACAGCCTTTCCTTACGTAATAAAATAATGGACATCATCAGCTGACAGAGAAGAAAGGTTCCATTGGGCTCACGGTTTCAGAGGCATCGGGTAGTTGGGCCCCACTGCTTTGGGGCCCGTGACAAGGCAGCAACACCGTGGTGGGAATGGTGAGAGGCAAAAGACAGAAGAGACGGGGGTCCCAAAGTCCCCTTCCAAGACACATCTCACAAACCCATCCCTTGAAGGTTCTGGCACCTCCTAATAGTGTCACCCTGGGGACTGAGACTCCAATATCACACTCTCAGAGAACACTCCAGGTCTAAACTACCTTGGGCACAACATGTGGGCCCCTTGTGGAAAACCCTATTGCGTGTATGAGAGGAAAGCCTATAGAAGCGGCTTGGAGCCTTGTTCTCCCAGACCTAGTTTGTTTGGCAAAGCCTAGAACGTGATCGACTTTTTCCTGTTAGGCAGTCTAAAAAGTCTGAGTCCTGGGCCAGATGTGGCGGCACATGCCTTTAATCCCAGCACTCAGAAGGCAAAGGCAGGTGGCTCTCTGTGAGTTCAAGGCTAGCCTCACTCTGTGACAGAGTCAAAAACAAAACAAAACAAGCAAATCGTGAGTCCTAAATTACACTACAAACCACCTTGTCTCCAGTGCAGGACTTCCCAAGACTCCTGGTGCCTACTGGAGCAACCCCCCCCAAAGCCCCCCACACACACACACACACACACTCACCCCACCCCCCACCTCCACCCCTCCACCACACACCTTCCCCTGAGTGGCTCCTAATGGCCTACAGCACAGCCCAGACCCCTCACACCTGGAGGTATTCCTCTGTTTACCTGAGATCAACAATGTGAACAGGACCTCCCTCTGTGTGCTATCTGCATGGCCTGAGGACCTGCATGCTACTTCACACAAGAGCCTCAGTTGTTTTTGACAGAAAAGTGGCTCAGAACTGGATCAAATACCCCTTCCTCCAGGAAGCTCTCTGGTTTCTCCTTCACCCACCCTCCACTGTGCTTTCTGGAGCCTTAGCCTCGGCCTGCACTAAAACCCCTATCTCTGTAGGAGAGAGAGTTCAGGTATAACAGAGGGACACTCCGTCTGGGAAAAAGAAAGGGTCTCTGAAAGAACCAGCTAGACTAGCTTCACTGTGGAAGAGTAGACCTCAAAGGTAGGGAGCACCCCGGTCACCAGGGGTGTGCAAGCAGAGACTGAGCCAGCCATATGCTGGGGATGTCTGGGGCAAATCTAGGCAATGAGCAGCAGGGTGGAGTCAGATAATGCAAAGTCCCTCCTCGTCTAGGACCTTCTAAAAACAACTTGAATCCCTCCTTAGTGATAGAAGCCATACAAAGGTACATGTTTCTAGAACAGCAGCTCAAGGACTTAAGGCGAGAATGTTGCTTGCTTACACACACACACACATACACACACACACACATACACACACACACACCATACCCACTCACACACATCATACACACATATATACAAACATCATATGCACACGTGCATACATACATACACGTATATCACATGTACATATATCACACACATACACATCATATACATATGTGCATACTGTCACACACATGCATCATACACACATACATCATATACACACATGCATACATACAGTCATATACATACACATACATCACATATATATCATATACACATACATCATACACATATCATACACATACACACATGCATCATACACACACATGCTAAAATACAGTCACATACACATAGTTACCCACAGAGTGACACACACACTTAGCCCTGAGGGCATACTAAATTATGGAAAGCAGATCTTATACCTGGGAGTGGCAGGATAAGATGGGGCAGACCCAGGAAGGGCATTTCAATGTCCCACCCCCTTTCTTGCAGTTCCTGGGCTGGGAAGGGACCAAGAGCAAGAACTGTATAAGACTTTGAACACAGCATTTGTTTTCATTTGCAAGCCCTGCCCACACAAAGCACAGATGTTCCCTATCTTGGGATGGATTTATTTCAGATCTTCTGACTTCACGAAGATACAAAAGCAAAGCATTAGATAACCATGCCTGGAGACTTTCCTCTGAGTCTAATGTGGGCTAGAGTTATCAGACGTGGTTCACTGTTGACAATGAGCAGGGCATTACCCAGTTGACCCCAGGACCTTGAGGGGAGGGGACAGCCTGCCCCAGCGCTGTCTCATTGCCTCTGTGGAGTTACTAGCTCTTCTCACTACTGTGACAAAACAGCTGACAGAAGCAACTTAAGAGAGAAAGATTTGCTTGGACTCACAGTTTCAGGGGGGTTTCAGTTTGGCCTGGCCAGGAAGTTCTGGAAGCAAGAACATAGAGCAGGAGGCAGAGAGTGGGTCTAAAACCAGGGCTAGGTGTAACCATCAAAGACCTTCCCCTAGCAGCCAGCTCCACCTCCTGCCAGCACAGCCCCACCAACTGGGGAACAAATGCTCAAGTATATGAGCCTCGGGGACAGTTTACATTCAGACCAGGACCCTGGTGATTGGTGCCATACCCAGCATCTTCAACCTTCACCATCATGTGCCCCCCTTCATTTATACATCTCTGTATCCTAATCTCCCCCTCCATGAGGATACTAGGCATGACCTCACCTCACCTTGAACAACCCAAAGATACTGTCTACCAGTAAGCTCTTGGTCTTAATTGGGGTTTTTATTGCTGTGAAGAGACACCATGACCACAGCAGCTCTTATAAATGAAAACATTTAATTGTGGTGGCTCACTTACAGTTTCAGAGGTTCAGTCCATTGTCATCATGGCGGGGAGTATGGCAGCATGCCGGCAGACATGGTGCTGGAGGAGTGGCTGAGAGTCTCACATCTTTTAGCCAACAGGAAGTCAACTGAGACACTGGATGGTATCCTGAGCATAGGAAACTTCAATGCCCACCCCCACAGTGGCACACTTCCTCCAACAAGGCCACACCCACTCCAACAAAGCCACGCCTCCTGATAATGCCACTCCCTGCAGGATTATAGGAACCAGTTACATTCAAACTGTCACAGTATTATCACAGATAGCTCAGAGGGTTCTGGAAGGTGTAGTTCAGACTCTTTCCAGTGGATTGGGGGTAAGTGAGTTCTTGGTTCCACTTGGTGTGTTGGGTTTGCCTGACACGCCGAAGATTCTTGCATGGTCTGGGTCTCAGTACACTGTGGCATGTTCTCTCACACAAAGATGCTTTGCAGCACATGGCCCATAACTATGTCGCCGTCTGCCACTGCTTTAGGTCAGTTATTTATTCAGGTCATCTGCATCACATATGAACACTGGCATTGGCTCTCAGCCATGTTCCGAATCCTAACCACTCTAAGGAGGGAGGCTGCTGAGACAGTGGGCCCTGTCTCCTTCTGATTGACTGACCAGATTGCCCCAAATGTCAGTGTGTCATTTCAGTCAGCAAAGGCCAGGTGCTTTGTCCCTCTCGGTCCTGTTTAGCATGAAGAAGTGTCTTTTGCATTTATTCTAAGTCAAAGTAAAAAAGTGACTTTGAATGCACAAGACTCTCCAAGTCAAACATTGAAAAATACTCAAGCAAAGGAACTAATCATGGAGCTTGTCGATAAAGCCTGGACAAGTTCAAGTGCGATTAGTGAACCACTCTGCACTCTTGCCTGAGGCCAAACTTAAGGGATGTTTTGGGTTTTTTTTTGGGGGGTGGTCTTTCCTATATCTTTTATCCATGTCAGAATCCATAGGTTTCATCTCAGGACAGATATCATGGGAGTAGCTGTCTGGGACTCTATGGGCTGAGAATTCTAAGACCCTCGCAGATTTAATCAGAGGAAGTTGTGATTAATTGGCAATGCCTGTCACAGGCATAGACAAGAGGCCATAGGCACTATCAGCTTCTGGTTAGTTACTTAGGGAGGTTGCCTGGGAGAAGGGACAGCCCTGGACTCCTTGAAGACAAAGAGAACCTACCTGAGTGGTGCCCTCCAGCATGGCTTACCCTTTCCGTGCAGGTCCCGGAAGCCATCCGCAAGTGCCAGCGGGCGGGTATCACAGTCCGAATGGTCACTGGTGATAATATCAACACAGCCCGGGCCATCGCCATCAAGTGTGGCATTATCCACCCTGGGGAGGACTTCCTGTGCCTGGAAGGCAAAGAATTCAACCGGAGGATCCGCAATGAGAAAGGGGAGGTACGCGCATGCGGCCACTGCAAAGGCTCTGCCAGGGCCACGCTCAAGAGGGGGCCGGGAGGCGTGGGCACTGCATGCTTGAACAGAAGCCAGCTGGTGTGCCCCGAAGAGCCCAGTGACTGCATGGGGCTCAATTTCTCTCTCTGACCCCACCGACATACCACACCCCTCTCCAGATTGAGCAGGAGCGGATTGACAAGATCTGGCCAAAGCTGAGGGTGCTGGCTCGCTCCTCGCCCACGGATAAGCACACACTGGTTAAAGGTAAGACTGGGGTGACTCCAGTAATTCTGAATCCAGAACCAGCCTAGCCTGAGCCAAGCCCAATTTGTGTGGCATCACAGCCTCCCCACAGAAGGGAAGAGGGACACCGGGGATTCTCCTCACTTTAGAACCTTCTGACTTGTTCCTTTTCAGCCATGGGAGGCCTGCAGAGGGTCCCCTGGGGGAAGCAGCCATGGGAGACCTCCAACTTCCTCTAAATTGCAGTGGACCTGGGCCTGGGGTCTCAGACCACCTGGCAGGAGGGCTGACTGTGCTAGTTCATATGCATAAAGCCTTTCCTATGCAGACCTCCAGGAACCTTCACACACCCTGATCTTTCATGCCTTAGCAGTATTTACTGTTCTTTGTCATCTGAAAGGCAGCCCACCTTCCTCCTCAGTTGGCCCCAGACCCTTACTTAGGAAGTTTCCAACCAACCCTTGTGAACAGACCCAAAGGATGAGAAGTCTTGGGAATAGCAGAGGCTAGAACCTTCCTGCCTGCCATGACCTCTCACAGAGCCTTAGCAACACCAACCAGCATTCTTGTAGTCACAGCCCTGGTTCACATCCTAGAACTCCTACTACCCTCTCTGAGGCCTTGGCAAGTCTGTCCACTCTGGTTCTTAGTATCCCCATCTGTAAAATTACCAGAAGGTAGCAATATTCCTTCTGCCTGGGATCACCCCTAGGCACCTTAGATTCATGTGTGTAAAAGATGGAAGCAGATGTGGGCTGTGGATAGAAGTACGGATCCCCAGGACTACAGACCCTGCAGCAGAGGGCCCTGCTCACCCTCACTCCTCCATCACAGACCCTGCAGCAGAGGGCTGCTGTGTGCTCTAGAGGGCCCTTCACTGTAGATAGCACAGGTTCTGCAGGACGGGCACCAAGCCATATCCCTGCACAGGACATTGGCTCCAGCCACCGGACTCTTGCTCTGGAGAGGATGTGGAGCCCAGGTGTGGGGGTGGGGGCAGGGAGAGGCTCTGTGTTCCAGACAGCACAGAACTACACTGGGCAGAGCCCCTGGTGTCATGGGGAGAAAAAAGAGGAGACTAAGGGAGACTGGCCTTGGGATACATAGGAAGGCCAAGAAAAGAACAGTGATGTATAGAATGCTCAGCCTGCGTTAGGAGAGTGACCTGAAGGCAGAGGGCGGCAGCTGCAGTATGAATGGGTGGTGCAGTGCAGTGCTTGTGAGTGGATGAATCTGAGTAGGCTATGTGTGAATCTGGTGTGGAGAGAAACAGCAGGAGACCCCATAGGGTGCTCCTGTACAGGCCTTGCTACAGGTCCACACCTGTTACCTGGGTGTCAGGCACGACAGACCTGCTGAGATGCTAACATTTAATGTAAGACTTCCAAGCCAGGGCCTGTAACATCCTAGTATCCCATCTGTAACAGACAGCCATTGAGTCAGGACAATGTGAGCCTCAGCTAGAGCCCCATGGGATGATGGGCCTATGGAGAGCAGAGAAGCCCCAGAAAAGGAAGAACCCATGGCACCCACCTGAGTGTTGGTAGAAATAAGCTCATTGGATGCTGGGTGGTGGTGGCATATGCCTTTAATCCTAGCACTCAGAAGGCAGAGGCAGGCAGATCTCTGAGTTTGAGGCCAGCCTGATTACAGAGTGAGTTCCAGGACAGCCAGGGCTGCACAGAGAAACCCTGTCTCAAATATCCAGGAAAAGAAAAGAGAAAAGACCATTAGAGACCAGAGAGACAGATGGAAGAGCAGGACACCCAGGAGTGAGAGATACCTAGAAAGACAAGAGGGAAGCCTACAGAAAAGAGTGTGGGACCAGCCGCTGAGAAGCCAGGAGAGATGTGGAGATGTGACCAAGGGGAGGCCACTGGAGAACCATGCAGTGTAGGGCCTGGTGAGTTCCTTGTCTTAGAGGAGTCCATTGCTGGCCAAGGACCCAGGAGAGTCAAAGATTGACCTGCCAGCTTCAGGGTCAGGAGGCCAAAGAGGCTGAGCCTAAGACAGCGGGATTTGCACTGGCTGCCAGCCAGTGGGAATAGCCATGCTAGCTCTCTGGGTACCAGGCATAGAGCTGGGATTTGTGTGGGATACAGGGAATGGTGTCCAAACCCTAGGAACTAGTCTCCTGCCTCCACAGGCAGCTGCTGTTTGCCTGGCACAGACAGGGCAATGCCTACACGTGGACGAGGAGGCCAGCAGCCACAGTGACATGAGGGGCTGTGTTCAACATGGTTTTCATCAATTATTTTATTGAAGATGTGTGTACAGAGTGAGATCAGAGCCAGTGGGGCAGGGTCACTAGCAAATAGTCCCTATGTGTGACTGAAATTCCCAGGTAGAAGGTTCTAGAAAAGCAGTTGTGGGAGTCCCTGAAGGTACACAGAACTCCTGGTTCTGGGCAGAATAGCTAGGGGACTGTGTTTCTAGGTAGGGCTGCCAAGGACTGTGAGAGCAATGATAGTGTTGGAGGCTGGGCAGCCCCAAGCCAACCTGGGCTAATGAGGAGCCTCGTACCTCTGTGAGTGCTGGGAAGAACAGTGATGGGAGGGGCTGGCTGGGCAGACAGGACAGAAGGCCATGCTGAGGCTCAGGGCTGGCTCTGGGGCCCTGAGCACACCCTCTTGTCCCCTAGGCATCATTGACAGCACACACACTGAGCAGCGGCAGGTGGTGGCTGTGACAGGGGACGGGACCAACGATGGACCTGCTCTCAAGAAGGCAGATGTGGGCTTCGCAATGGTAAGAGTAGCTGGAAGAAGGCTTCAGGTCTGATTGAGTCTCAAAGGCAAGGATGGCAGGGCTTGGATTACACAGCTTCAAACAGGCTTGTGAGACTCTGCATGCTCTTAGCACTCAATCTCACCATCAGCCTTGTATTCAACCACAGCTTTTGAGCCCCAGCCTACCCAGCCTAACCCCAGAGGTTTTTCCTGAAGGGCGCAGGCAGTGGCCTGCTGGAGTCAGCTCTGCCCTGCTGTGTACTTAGAGGTCAAGGAGGAATGCAGCAAGGCCAGGCTTCCTGGGGGAGGGGAGGAAGGTGGCCTCAGAGGGGTGGCTGTGTGCACACGTGCACACCTGTGTACATGTTTGCATGCATGTAATATATACATCTATACATGTATGTTTTGTGTGGTCTCAATGAGCTGGTTCCTTTGGGTCAGGGGTGAGGTGCACAGGCTGTGTAAAGGTGAGAAGGGCTGTATACAGCCACTCACATCCCTGGCTGCCCCACCAGGCTCCTGTCTCTCTCCACAGGGCATCGCGGGCACAGATGTGGCCAAGGAGGCCTCAGACATCATCCTGACAGATGACAACTTCAGCAGTATCGTCAAAGCAGTGATGTGGGGACGTAATGTCTATGACAGCATATCCAAATTCCTGCAGTTCCAGCTGACTGTCAACGTGGTGGCTGTGATCGTGGCCTTCACCGGTGCCTGCATTACACAGGTGGGTCCTAGGGAAATCATCCCCAAGGCTGGGAAAGGGCAGCCTCCAGCCTCCAGGACATCCTAGGTTGTTGGGATCACAACCCTGGAGATGGACACACGTTGTGGCGTGTCTCACAAGAGCAGGGTTCCATCATAGTCCTCCATGCAGCCACCAGCCCCAAGCAGTTTTAAAATGAGACATGGAAAGGTAGTGTGACTCAGGTGGTCCCAGAAATGAGGGGTACAAGGCCTCACATCCATCCTACCGCCTGCGCCAGCCTGACCCTAGCTCCAGAGGCTGCCAGAAGCTGGGGCAGGGGGCAGTGCAGACCCAAGCAGGATTTGTTTGCCAGCTGAGGACCCAGACCCAGCCGGTTCTGTGGGAAGAGCATTAGGAGAGGTGGGGTTGGGTAGAGGAAGCAGTGGAGTTCTGTTTGTCTGTACAGATCACTGCCTCTGGGTCATAATCAGGCTGCTCACTGAGGCAGGTGGAGTGAGTACCATTTCACAGAGACAGCAACTGGATCAGAGGAGAGAATGGCCAGGTATTCAGTCTGGCTCCTGGTGTCTCCTGACATTATAACCAGACTGCACCTCCCAGGAGCTGGCTTTCTGGTATGGGAAAGAAAGTGACTTCAGGGAGTCTCAGAGGGCTGACTACTCCCAGGAACCACCTGGGCACCACAAGCCCCTCCCCATAGGGGAACCCAGAGTTCAATGTGCAGCCGTCCCCAAGAGCCACATGCCCATAGGACACTGCTCCCCTCTGCTGTGACCTCCACCATGGTGATGCCTGTGATAGCTGCAGTATTGACCATGAGGGTTGGCTTGAGGGTTCCCCTTCCTCTTGAAGGGCAACCTCTCCTGGTCTGTGGATGGAAGGCTCCCTCTAGTGGTGTTTTGTAGACATTACTTTGACAGCTTCCTGGAGACTGGACTAATGCCAGTAAGAAAACAGGTTCAAAGACAAGGATCAGTTGGCCCAGCATCTCTGACTGAGCAGGGCCATTCAGGCTTTGGTGGGAAAATTGCACACCTGACCCTGAGGTTCTTGTATCAGATAATGTAGAAAGGCCAGAGCCACAGCCTTACCAGGCAGGGGTGAGGAGGCAGGAGCAGCAGGGGAAACACAGAGAAGGTAGACAGGCAAGAAGCTGTTACACTTTCAGAATGGAAGGGCTTCCACAAGACTGTCAAGGGTAGAGCCAATGGTGAGCGGCGGAGGGCTCTGGATGGAAGGAGGCCATGTGTGGGAGACGTTTGTCTCAGATACCAAGTGACAGGTGTGTATGGGACAGAGAGGGGGCCCCAGGAAGACAGATGTAAAAGGAAGAGAACAGGGCCTTAAACAAGAAAAGAGTGACTGGGGGGGCTGCTGCCAAGAGAGAATGGAGCAGGGGTCCCTCTGTGTGCCATAAAAGTCACAGATAGGGGCTGGAGAGATGGCTCGGCAATTCAGAGCGCTGGTTGCTCTTCCAAAGGACCAGGGTTCAATCCTAGCACCCACATACAGCTCATACCTGTCTGTAACTCCAGTTCTAGAGGACCTGATACTATCACACAGACATGCATGCAGGAAAAACAGCAATGTACATTAAAACAAAGAAAGAAAATATTTTCTAAAGTCACAGATGACATTTTAGGGAAAGGTATAGGGTGGCGGGTGAGGCTAGCTCTGGTTGCTGTGGGCAAAGTCCATGGTTGTGAGGAGTGAAGGATAAGGGCCCGGCCCCCTCAGTCAGTGTACACTGAGCGTGGTATGTCCAGCAGAGTGAATTTGACAGCGTTCACACCAGCATGGCTGTGGCGATCAGCTCTGTGTTAGCTCTCTGCTTTTCTTACTTGACAGACTTCCTACCATGATAGTGCATTTCTTTTGGAGTCATCGTTATAAAAACCTGTAAGACACAAGATCATTAAACGTAAGGTGGAATTGGGAGCAGAGGTCAAGAACATTGTCTCCAGGACAGGAGAGACTTGAGCCCCTGAGGTCAAAGGGCAGAGACAGTGAGGAGTTACTAAGAGTGTGGGTGTTGGCTTCAGACAGGAGGGGAGTAGGCAAGGATGTAGCTGAGTCTACCAGAAGTCAGGGAGCTGTGGCTACTAAGCCTGAGGGCCCAAGACGGAGATGGGCAGTTCATACCGGTCTCCACAGAAGCTTCAAGAACCTGCCACACACATGCTGAGAGCACCACAGCCGGGCAGCCTGTGGTAGGAACCTGCTGAGACCCTGCAGCAGGCCCATCCTGTACTCTGACTGTGGTGGCTCTCTGTGTGACAGTCCTTTCCCCGCCACTGTCCTAGGACTCCCCTCTCAAGGCCGTGCAGATGCTTTGGGTGAATCTCATCATGGACACGTTTGCCTCCCTGGCCCTGGCCACAGAGCCACCCACCGAGACTCTGCTGCTGAGGAAACCTTACGGCCGCAACAAGCCCCTTATCTCACGGACCATGATGAAGAACATCCTGGGCCATGCTGTTTACCAGCTCACTCTCATCTTCACCCTGCTGTTTGTGGGTGAGCACCCCAGTACTCACCCCTCCATAGCCAGGTCAACACCATGGCCCACGTCCAACACCTGGCTTGACACACACCACCCTGTTGTACTCATGGGGAAACTGAGGCATAAGAGGAAACTGTAGATGTGGTACTCGGCAAAAAGTCATGCCCTGTCTCAGGCTGGCTGACCTCAAAGCCAGCTGTAGTGCTAAGCCAGGCGAGGCAGCAGCACCCAGAGCTGATGAAACCCTGAGAGCCAAGGCCCTGGGCCAAGCAACCAGTCTCTCCTCTGACCCCTTCTAGCTGCTCCTCCTTGCCCCCCAGGATGTTTTCATGGAGACTTTCCTGGAGAGGGACACACAACCTACTGGGCTGCCAGCTCCTGCCTCGATTCCTGCAGCCACTCAGAGAGCCAGATGCCTCTGTCTGTGCCTTAGTCAGCTTTCGCTCATTAAAATGAAGTTCCTGAGACAATCTCAGTCTAGGAGGTCCTCCTATTCCAATGACTCCATTGTTTTGGGTGGCAGAAAGCAGAGAAAGCTACGGGCCCAGGCCCATAACAGCCTGAAGCCTCCCACCACACTCCATCTTGTAGAGGTTCTACCGCCTTCCTTAGGGTCAGGAAAGGGATAGAACCTTTACTCAGTATCTCTTGGTTCCACCCTAAGCATCGCAAACCGGGTGTGGTGGCGCCTGCCTGTAATTCCAGCACTTGGGAAGCAGAGGCGGGAGGAGCAGGGGTTTTAAGTCATCCTTGGCTACATAATGATTTCAAGGGCAGTTTGGGCTCCGTGAGACCCTGGTTCTACAACCTCCCCACAGCACCACAGTCTGGGCAATAGGTCTGAAATACATGGGTCACTGGGCCACATTTGCTTAAGCTGTAGCGACTTACCTCAAGGATTTATGTCCTCCTGGTACTATTACAAGCAATGTCACTTAGTAACGTAGGTGGCATGCCACTTTCCTCAATTGTCCACATAAGCCATTTATCTTCTAAAGCAGTAGTTCTCAGCCTTCCTAATGCTGCAACTCCTTAATACAGTCCTTTGTTGTGGTGACTCCCAACCATAGAATTATTTTTATTGCTACTTCATAACTATAGTTTTGCTGTTATGAATTGCAATATAAATATCCTAGTACTCAGGACAGCTGACATCTGACCCCTATCACCCCCAAAGGGGTCATGGCCCACAGGTTGAGAAACACTGATCTAGAGAAAGATTTCTCTCACTGATCAGGCACCACAGGCCACACTCTGCCCCATTCCCTGCCTCAGCCTGGGCCCCACCCTCTGACTTGCCAGGTGAGAAGATGTTCCAGATTGATAGCGGAAGGAACGCACCACTGCACTCACCACCCTCAGAGCATTATACCATCATCTTCAACACCTTCGTCATGATGCAGCTTTTCAACGAGATCAATGCCCGCAAGATCCACGGCGAGCGCAACGTCTTTGATGGAATCTTCCGGAACCCTATCTTCTGCACCATCGTTCTGGGCACGTTTGCCATCCAGGTACCCAGCCCCCACCTAACCTGGGCTGGGCAAGGCGGTGGCTCCCCAGCCCTCCGTGCCATCTCCGTGTCTGTCCTTCCGATCTCTGACCTGCAGATAGTGATCGTGCAGTTTGGCGGGAAGCCCTTCAGCTGCTCCCCACTCCAGCTGGACCAGTGGATGTGGTGCATCTTCATCGGCCTGGGAGAGCTCGTCTGGGGCCAGGTCGGTATTGGGGGTGTGAGCAGATGGGGTCTTGAAGCAAGGGAATAGGAAGAGCAAGAGGATTGGTCCTGGCTGTGCCATGTCCATACGAGGGAAAGCCATCCCCAGCACTGGGCATCATAGCAATGGAGTTGGTCCAAGGCTGCAATGCAGGCCACATGGGTACCAGCACTCTGGTTTTGACCTTTTATCAGTATCTCACTGCTGCTGGTGTTTTCTTTCTTCGATTGCAGCAGTTTGCTTTAATTTAAACTTATGTCCAAAGGCGATTCTGTATCACCGGCATGGCCTGCCATGAGGAGAAGCTTATGAGAAACTAATATAAGGGGCACGATGCTAAGGCACCGAGGCTGCCAAGGTGCGTGGGCCTGCCACAGCTCAGAACCTGAAGCGAGCATGCTAAACCGGAGTGTGTGTGTGTGTGGGGGGGTCATCCTGTGGTAGCCCAAGTGTAATGACCTGATGGCACCAAGCAGGAACCTGCCATGTTAGTGTGGCTTGGGGTGGGCCCGTGACTAACTGAGCATCTCTCCTAAGTTGAAGGTGCTCTCTGATGGAAATTCCATCTCTGACTCTAGAGCATTCTTCTACCTGGTTCATTCTCTATGTCTGCCCAAGTTCTAGGCATACATGCACATGCTCATGTACACACACATACAAGTATACACACACACACACCGTCACACTGCTGATAGCTTGAAATCTCAGTCTCCTGACCCAGGACACTACATGGGAGAAGTGTCTTAGGACTTCATTTCCAAGGTGCCCAGACATCCAGGCAGAGGGCTCATCATAGGCCTAAGACGATTTTCTTCTTCAGTTTATCCCCAGGCTAGAGTAAGAAACTGCAGCGGTGAGCCTCATATGGTAGCACACATTTGTAATCCTAGCACTCAGAAGGTTGAGGCAGGAGGATTGCTTATTTGAGAGCAGTGTGGGCTACATACCCAGACCCTATCACAAAAAAATAAAAATGAAAGGAAGAGGAGGCGATGATGAGGCGGTAACTTGTACTGTGGTTCATGCCTGTAGTTCCAGGCCTTGGGAGGCTGAGGTAGGAGGTTCACCACCGGTTTGATGCCAGCCTGGATTACATGGTAAAACCCTGTCTCAGAAATCCTGGAAGACAAAGATTACAGTGTGGACCACTTCCCAGCCTTTTGGTTACAATTAAGTATAGAAATTATAGGCAAATGTTAACTCAAAGATAAAGTTCAGGTCCATCCAAAGGGGCCTGTGACACATCTCCAGAGCATTAAGAACTAAATTTGAGCAGGGCGATGGTGCTGCACGCCTGTAATCCCCACACTCAGGAGGCAGAAGCAGGTGGATCTCTGTGAGTTCAAGGCCAGCCTGGTCAACAGAACAAGTTCCAGAACAGCCAGGTCTACACAAAAACCCAGTCTTGGAAAACAAAACAATACAAAACAAAACAAAAAACTAAGTTTGATTAGGACCCTGGGAGCCTGCATCCTGAGGTGTCCCTCACCATCCAGAGGGACAAACTGCACTTACCCTGAACTTCCAAAGGGCATGAGCATGTGGTCCAGCCCTTGCCGGCCCTCACAGATGTTAAGGGGCCTCTGATGTCTGACTCTCAGGCCTCTACCTAGGGAACAATGCCTTCAGGGAAGATATAGGTCAAGGACACCTCATGCTCACTGAAGGCCATCTACAGAAGGGTCTATACATATGTACACAGCGCCTGCCTAGGTCCTCACAAAACTCCTAAGCTACCCCAACCTTATCACAAGGAGTCCAGAGCTCAACAAGGGAACATGACTTCCCCTGGGTCACATGACCCATATATTCCTGGGGTATTCCAAGTCACAGTGGTCAGTTCCTCAAGACCAAGTTGTCCTACTCTGTCCTTTGTGTCCAATAAGAAGAGTAAAAAGGTCATTAATAAGAAACAATTAGCAATTGAGTTAGAACAGGTGGCAGGTTAAAGAGGGGCTTATCATGTGACTAGGAAACAGATAAGCAGGAGGGAATGGGACTGGGAAGAGAGTCCTCAGTCCTGACCCTTGGCTGGGTATATCCCTTGCAGGTCATTGCCACCATCCCTACCAGCAGGCTCAAGTTCCTGAAGGAAGCAGGGAGGCTCACACAGAAGGAGGAGATTCCTGAGGAGGAGTTAAATGAAGATGTGGAGGAAATAGACCACGCAGAGCGGGAGCTTCGCCGTGGCCAGATCCTGTGGTTCCGGGGCCTGAATCGGATCCAGACACAGGTGCGGGGAACTCCTAGGGCTGGGCCAGACCTGAGGGTGTGATCAGAATGTTCCATTGCACCCTCACACTCTGATGTGAAGGAAGGTGGCCATAGGAGCCATGTCCGTCATGTGGCCTTGGAAGAGCCCTCACTATCCCTCCAGCCATGAGTACACACATCACTTCTGCTACACAAGCAGGGTGCAACCTCAGGAAGACCGATACTTCTCAGACTAGCCAGGGTCTCACCCACCGTGGCTTTCTAGAGGAAGCCCCTGAGAGAATGGGGGTGGCTATGGGGGCCGAGGTGAGTGAGGGTTCTATTGTGGCTGGGTGTCTGCCAGGAGGGGCAGACAGTACTGAAGGGAAACCATCAGCCAGTGAGCTACGTCACCTTTACAAGTATGCACACACCCTCTGCCTCTGTGAGGGTCTCCAAGCCCTTGACTCCACCTAGATGTGGAACAACCCCCATATACAGGGGTACGCATGCAAGCCAAGCTTCCACACAAAAACCTATGAGCACAGTGCCTGCCCAGCCAGAAGCAGGCTTCTGTCTCAGGACAAAAGCTATGATGGTGCAGGAAGGCCACACACATGGCAGTCCATGTTCTCCCAAAGGCCCCACGCCTGGGGCAGGTGTAGTTTGTGGATGTGCTGTAGAAAACCAAGAAAGAGGCACCCTCAGATCCCTTACCCAAGCAATCCGGGAAAGTGATGCCTGGCTCAATGCAATCACTTCATTTCCATGGACAACAGCAAACTGCTCCACTGGGGTTCCTTACACACCACTGGGACTCATTTGACTCATACAGCCCCTGCACTGCCCACTTGGCATTTGGGGGAGTGGGTTTTAGACTCACAACTGCCTCACACAGGCCGGAATCTCCTGCTGTGACCAGGACACTGGCTGCCCCTGTTTCCTGGGAGGGATGCGGTAGATGGCACTACCTCACAGGCCTCACATCTCAAGAGGAAGAGGGGACTATAGTTCCCTGACGATTATAGTCCTGAGTGGGTGTGAGTAACTCTGAGGCTGCCTTCCCTGAACTCTGTCGTGGGCCTGGTACTGTGCCGCTTATATCTCTGCCAGCTGGATGGCATTGCCTTTCTTTAAGAACAAGAAACAGGACTTGCCCAAGGTCACCTAGCTAGTAAATAAGAAGAGCTAGACCTTGGCCCAAGGCCTGTACAACCCCAAGGTCTCACTCAGGCTGTACGCCTGCAGCCACTCTTCCATTCTGACACCTCCTCCACCCCAGCCTCTGAGCCACCATTGAGGGAAGAGGTCACATCCTGCTCACCCTACCTCCCACCCCTGCTTGGGACCCCCAGGGCCTACAGGTGGGCCCAGAGCTGAGCAGATATCTTTCTGAGCCTTGGAGTGTGTCTGGTATTTTTGTGTTAAGTGGCGTTGTCCGTGTCGCCGTGGCTGCGGCTGTTGTGTGATGTCGCGCCCGTCAGTTGTGTAGCTGTGGTGTTCGTTTCTTCTCGCAACTTGTCTCGTTCTCTCCTCCGTTGCAGATTGAAGTAGTCAATACTTTCAAGAGCGGGGCCTCCTTCCAGGGGGCCCTGCGGAGACAGTCCTCCGTCACCAGCCAGAGCCAGGACGTAGCCAGTCTCTCTAGCCCTAGTCGCGTGTCGTTATCCAATGCTCTTTCCTCTCCGACCAGCCTTCCTCCTGCTGCAGCTGGGCGTGAGTGTGACTCCTTACCGCCTCCGCTGGCACCACCAACTCCAGCTCCTGGGCGGGCAGGCGGGCAGGGGCCGGGATTCCAGAGGACATGGGGGGGACAGGGGTCACTATGAGGTCCAGGGGCTGCAGGGCCCAGCCACCGAAGACAGTGTCATTGGTCAATGGTTCTCAGGCAGTTGTGGGGTTAGCTGGGTGTCAAGGATTGTAGCGAGCAGTAGGACATTAGAATTATAAGCAGTCAGGAGGTCTATCAAAGGATCACACCATAGTCAAGAAGGTCCTAGGAATCCAAAGGGTCCTCAGCACCTGAGGCCAGAAGGTACCAGTCACCAAGAGAGTCACAGAGCATCCCTCCCTCTAGTGTCTTACTTTGTCAGGAAAAGCTTGGCCCATGAGAGAATTGGTCAGAGTTCTCTGAGGTCTTGCAGTCAATCAAAAGGTTAATGTGGGTAAAAGTATAGAAGCCTGTCAGGGGTCACAGTTCAGTGGGGGCTCAACACAGAGGGACCATGAGCCAAGCAATCACTGCAGGTCAGATGTCACAGACGGGAATGACAGACCACTGGGTAACCACAGCACTTCAGAATCACAGTGTCCCTCCCTTGTACATCCAGCACACCAGCTGCCTTACTAACCCTTCCCCGACAGAGGGTGGAGCATGCTGAAGCCCTGACCCCTTCCTGGAAGAGACAAGGCTCCTGTTCCATCCAGCTGATCTCAAGTAGAAAATGGTGGGCACACACATCTTACCAGGGTGCCAGGTAGTCCTAAAAGAGCTGGTCTAACCCTGGGTGGCAGGTCCTTTTCTTCTTATCTGAGAGGTGGCTTGGGACTCTGACCTCCTCTTTGTCTTCCTTCTCCCAAGCATATCTGCCTGTACCATCACCTCTGACCTAGTCTTCTCTTCTCTAGCTGTCTAGATCTTTGCTGGACCTCTCCAGGTGCCTTCATTCAAACCTTCCCAAAATACATGGAACCTTAGTTCTGACCTTTTAACACAGACACAACATGTGTGCTGCCCCAGCCAGCATTCAGGTTCTTTGATGAGAAACAGACTCCATCTTTTGATGCATTATGAAGGGCCCCACCCCTATCCCAACCCAGAACACCCAGCATCACACCTTCCTGCCTCTGCACAGAGAGGATCTGCGTACAGGCCTAGGGTTCTTCCCATGGAGTGCTCCAGCAGGAGGCACAGATCATTAGGAGCTCATTGATAGTCCATGCTGGTGTCCCATGGCCATCCCATGGGTGCTGCCCTCCCAGGCATACAGGATGACAAGGAGACCAAATAGCATTCTCCTATTGGCACAAAATGAGCCCAGATGAGGCAGAGGCATCTGTGAGTAGATGGTGTCTGAATCACTGAGAGATCATGGCCAGGCTTCCCCTTCAGAGCAGACAGCCTTCCCCACCTTAGAGAGTGGTCCATGCTCAACTGCCCTCTCCTTCCTCCCCATCCCATAAATCCAACTCTGGTCTTGCTTGTACCTCCCATCTTGAAGTGTAGTCACCAGGTGTCTCCGTGGTGATAACCCTGTTGGTGACTGTGTGTTGCCCTGCGTTCTGACTGTTAGGACTCTGGCTCCAGGGCACAAGCTCAATCCCTTCCCCCTCCCACTCGCTCTCCCTCTGAGACAGGGTTTCACTGTCTTGGATCAGGCTGGCCTCTAACTCACAGAGATCCACCTGCCTCTGCCTCCTGAATGCTAGGACAAAAGTTGGGCGCCACCACTGCTAGGCCAACAAGTTCAGTTCTTTATTAACCCTGGTCTACCTCTTTCCTTAAGCATAGCATTTTACCCTTGCCACAACAGAGCTTGTGTGGCATTCCCAAGTGCCACGTACCCTTGACAGTCATCCTTGGGTCAGTCCCTCGGCTAAGCACTGACATTCCAGGACAAAAATCTGTCCTTGTCTCGGCAGCTCTCTTACCCTTCCTTCGTCACCATCATCAAGGAGGCTGTCCCTGACACACTTCTACAGACAGGCCTGTGCAGCCCCATTCACTTGCTTCCAGACAGACCAATCCCTCCTTCATTCCATGTGACCCTAACTTTGAAGCAGTCATTGGAAGAAAGACTAGCTGGGGGTTGTACCAAAACTCATCTATCACCCTGGCCCATGATCCTCCATTCCCTCTCAGGGCCAAGAGGGAAGCCAAGAGCAAACTCAGCCCCCTCACCCAGCCTCCGCTCTGTCACCTCTCCAGCCTCCTTCACAGCCTCACACTTGTTCCCTCTGCTAAACTCCAGGTTGTAACTCTTAGTCTCTTTGGGCCCTTCGGTGGGTGTGAGGTCTCAAAAACAACCTGACCACTCCTTTTCAGGCTGCACTGGCTCCCAGGAGGACTGCCATTGGTTTAAAGATGCATTTGGATTACCAAGATCACAATTGGGATGTCAAGGAGACATCCCCTCATCCTCTGCTTGGGTAGTTTCTGTCACATGACCTCTTTCCCTCTCCCGGGACTCTGGAAACCCTGTAGATACTACACAAAGTTCCTTTGGAAGTCAGAATGCTTTCTTCCCATACAACAAGCAGACAAAAGGCAGATGGGGGGGGGGGGAACTGTGTCACCAGATTCTGCAGGATCCCCCCCAGCAGAGCACTGGTCGCATGCCTGCTGAAGCAAACGTCTGGAGTCTGTGTGCCCCAGAAGGATACAAATCTCTTTCCTTCGTGTCATCAAGAGTTGACCACAAAGGGCTAGGGGGGGAAAGACTTCTACTGGGGGACTCACTGTGCACCCCTCCACAGCACAGCTGTTAGATGGCCCCAAGCAGACACTACAAGTGGGGACACATGGTCAGTTGGGATGGGACCAGACTCAGGAGAGAACCCAGGGGAATCGCAAGCTTTTCTCATCCTGGCTCAAAATTGAATGTGGTCCCCGACCCCCAGAAGTTCAAGGCCACACCACTAATGCCATGCACAATGCCATTTCCTTTACCTCATGTACATCTCACCATGAGGAGCAGAGTTTCCCAAGGTAGCCAGAGACACCACTTGGCCAAGACGACACAGCAAGGGAAACAGCCACTCGTGTTCCACTCCACACCACTTTCCAAACAGGCGTGACTCTGTAACACAGAGGATGGCATTAGATTTGGGAGCCAGTGCTGGTACCCACAGCCTTCCAGAGGAGAGGGAGCACCCCTTCCATCACCCTAGGTGTGGATCAGGGTGAGAGGTAACCCCTGATGTGCCTCTAGCCCACAGAAGCATAGAAGCAATGCTTCACTGGTCATCCATGACAGTACCAGACTCGGCCATCCAGGTCAGCCTCCCCCAGGTCCCTCACCCATCTCTAACCATCTCTATCCTTAGCAAAGTCTGAAGAGATTCCACTTTGAACACTTTAGCCTCACTATGCCAAGGGCAACACTACACACACACACACACACACACACACACACACACACACACACACACACACACACGCACAGTCCCAAGTGGCCCCATGTCCCCTTCAGACTTGGGTTTCAAGAACTGCCATTGTGTGACATTTGTGGTGATGAGCAATGCAGACATGGCAAAGAGGAAAGCTGGGTGTTTCTCCTTAGCATTCTGGTAACTGATCTGGTGCAAGCTTGGGTTGGCAAAGAAATGGCTTGCTTTTGGGGAGGGGGACCCTAGAGCTCTCCACTGTCTGAATATTCCATGTCTTTGTTTCCTAGAGGGCTAGAGAACCCTGGACACAGAGTTCAGCAAGAGAGAGTGAAATTAAAAGAGGTTGTGAGTCTTTAACCTTGAGCCTGAAGTGAATGTGAATCAATCCCAGACTCTTGGCTTCCTTGAAGCCGGGTAAACATTCGAGTATGCGGAGCCCACCTCAGAACAAGGCTTCTGCCTCCCCAGATTCCCCAGTGGTCAAGAGCTCCAGGTCCCTCAGGCTGTTGAAAGCAAACATCCACAATCCCACCCACTGGCCCCCACCTTATTCCCTGCCCCCACATTCCCATGAGTCTTCTGTCCTGAAACTCCTCTTCAGAGCAGGCAGGCAGTGGAGATGGAAGAGATTTTTGCTTTTGTTTTTGGTTTTTCTCCCCTGTTTTTGTTTTTTGTTTTTTTCCCCATTTCAGCTGCAGAGAGAACCGAAGTGGAGTCTTGAGATGGCCATGTCGGGGTGTCCCCAAAAGTCCTGTCCCCACAGTCCTGTCCAGAGCAGTTCATTCTTTCTGTTGTCTCCATGCCAGGGGGAGGATGGAGGGGCCTCATCTCATTGTGTGTGTCCCTCTACGTTGTCAGTCACATGACAAGGGCCTGCCACTGTCCCCTAACTCCCTTTATATACTAGGCATTCCAGCCAGCCAGCGTCTTATGGCAAGTCAGCCTCAGAAGGCTGAACACCAGCTGGGTAGATCTGGGAATGGGACATTTGCACTCCCATTTTTCAGATGAGGAAACCAGCAGCCGAGTTTTACCTAATGTTTGTTTGCCTAGTGTGCAGAAGGCCCTGGATTAGATCTTTAGTCCCTACAAAAAAAAAAAAAAAAAAAAAAAAAAAAAAAGTCAAGAAGTGAAAGTGAAGAGAGGCACAAATTCAAGGTCATCCCCTGAGACCAGCCTGGATCATATGAGACCTTTCCTTAAAGCAAACAAACAACAAAAAAAGAAAACTAAGCAAACTAAGGTTATACATTATTATTGTTGTTGTTATTATTATTATTATTTTCAAGGGTGCAATGGCCCACTTATCAGATCATAAAATAAAAAAAAATTTACAAAAGCTGCATAGGGAATCCAGAGACAAAGATAGTTCAGAGTATCACAGAACACCAGCACTCAGTCTGCCTGGCTCCATGAGCTCTGGCTTGACTGCTTGCCTGGATTCCAGCAAGCAGAGTTCTCTAGGGTCACTAGTGTGTAGGGAGGAGACAGGACAGAGTGCTCTTCTGAAGGCAAGCAGAAGGCTGATGGCAAAGGAGGAGAGTTGACTGGGAAAAAAGAGTCAGACAGCACAGCCCAACTTATCAGTGCCCAGATGAATTCTCATCCCTGCAGTTGACTTATCTTAGAAGCAGAAAGTCATCCCTCGGCTGTGACACAGAGGCAGCAGTCAAAGCAAGCCATCTAGCGTTTTCTTCTGGGAACAGGAATCTCCCTAACCATGGCCCACAAGGAGCTCCCTGGTTTAGCTGAGTTCTAGTCTGGGGTTCCAAGGACCTCTCTGGCAGTCTCCTGACCCCATGGCCAAGACCATGTGACCCTCGGTTGTTGGTGGCATTGGGCCATTTTGTGTTTTCTTCTTTTCCCTACTCTGAGCCAACACTGGGAAGAGAGCAGGAGGCACCTTTCTTCCAAGTCCCATCATACCCTTGAGACAAAAGATGTTTTCCTGTTCCTCTGCACCCCATAAAGCAGTTAAGAACATGCCCAAATAGGTGGTGTGGCTCTCTACAGCCAAGGAATGAGGAATGGCCAAGCCAGAACTTCAACCTGGCCCTTCCTAATCCAAACCCAGGGCTCTTTGCACTAGCCTTGGAGACCAGAGGCCAGGCTCCTCGCATTCATTCTTCAGAGGAGAGAATAAAAGCCCAAGGACCTGAAGTCCCTGGCTTACTCACTATGGTGCTGTGCCAAACCTCCCTACCCTACCCCACTTCCCAAAACCTGAAGGGGGTCTGGGGATTGGCTATCCACTTCTGGCCTGTGTCTTTTGGCTTTACGTTTTTTTTTGTTTTGTTTTTAGTTTTTGGGTTTTTTTTTTTTTTTTTTTTTTTTTTTTTTTTTTTGTTTGTGTTTTCAGAACACAAACAAAGCGATAAACCCCAAACTCTAGGAAACAAGGGAGCCCCTTAGTGAGCTGCAATGGCTGGCCAGGGCTTTGAGCCCATACTCGAGTGTTTACCTCCCAAATGCATGAAGGAAAGAGGCGCTGGGCACAAACAACTATGTTCACATTGTGCAGGCTTCCAAGTGTAGCTGTGTGTCTGTGTGTGCGCGTGTGGCCCCTGACCCCTGTGGCATGCTCCCTGCCCCCAGTGTCCCGTGTGCCGCTCCTCTGTGCTCCCTGGCTGCTGCAGCCCTGCACCTCAGAAAGCCTTTCCCGGCTTTGCTTCGCTCTGCTGCCTCAGCTTGATGTCCCCTTTTCTGTGTGGCCCTCGTGTGTCCTCTCATCCCACCTCATCCGACTGTCTCTCCTTCCTGTCCCTTCTCTGTGTGACCTGTTCCATGTGGTTTGGTTTCTTAACTGTGTGTGGTTTTTGAAGATTCACTTTTTTAACAATAGACTCTCCTCTTTCCTACTTTCCCCCAACTCCCAACCCCCCTGCATGGTCAAACTCTGCTGTGACATTAACAAGGCTCAGTCTCTCACTAGGTCGAGTGCCCTTCGGAGTGGACCATGCTCCGGTTTACAACTGCCCAAGCATCTGTGTGATGGTGCTTACAGTCCCCACTAATACCATAGTTCTGACCCAAACCAAAGCCACTTAAAAACCAACTCATGGATGCATCCCCCAAGCCCTCTGCCATCCGTCCCCATCGATGCTCATAATACCAACGACTGTGGATCCCAGCCGCCCGCGTGCCCTCCCTTCCCCCAACCCTCCTCCAAGTCCCCAGAAGGGCCCAGCCCACTCCTGACCCTTGTGCTTCCCTTGCAGATCCGCGTCGTGAAGGCGTTCCGTAGCTCTCTCTATGAAGGGTTAGAAAAACCCGAATCTCGAACCTCCATCCATAACTTCATGGCTCATCCTGAATTCCGGATCGAAGATTCCCAGCCTCACATCCCCCTCATCGATGACACCGACCTGGAAGAAGATGCCGCGCTCAAGCAGAACTCGAGCCCGCCGTCCTCGCTCAACAAGAACAATAGCGCCATCGACAGCGGGATCAACCTGACGACCGACACGAGCAAATCAGCTACCTCTTCAAGTCCAGGGAGCCCCATCCACAGCCTGGAGACGTCGCTTTAGCTGAGGTCACTGTCGCCTGGCCACCTTCATGGACCTGCTGCCACCTGCCTCCGGGCGCACACCCTTCCAGGCACCGACTCCCCGATGCAGCAAGGAGCACTGGGAGGAACCCACACAGCAGAAAGAGAACACGTTTCTACCCACAGACCCTTTCTCTGGCTGCCATGCTGTTTGAACTTTTTTTCACTCCTAGGTCATGAGCGGGATTGCCCGGGGTTCATCTGGAGCAGAGAGTGGCGTGGGTTTTGTTTTGTTTTGTTTTTGTT